CCTTGCCCTTTCCATACATGCGGCCCATGGCTCCTACTACCTACCTCGCTGCTGCTCGTGCCTGCCTGCGACAATAAGAAGGATAGATGCGCACCCTACACAATGGTTTCAATGAAAACCATGAAACCCTACGCTGAGCGACTCGACACTCCAGCGCACGCAGTCTGAAGTCGAAAGCGTTCCAGAGTGAGTTCTATAGATTCTAGTCAATCATAGGCAATCTGTGTATCTGTATCAGCATGTATCAGCATGACTCAGCAAAAACTGTTTAATATGGTCGATTCTTATCACGGACTTGCCAAGAAAATCATCTACTCAACATCCATGAGTCGCACTCGCTTATTTTTGTAGTTTGCAGAGCACGCAGGTGCAGGTCAAAGGGAAGCCATGTGGCCAGTACAAAGCCTCACTCACGCAACCAGTGCTGATGCAGTGGCAGATTGGTACTTGAAAGTCGCAGGCAGGGACTTCACTCGCTTGTAGTATCTGGCCAGGCGATGAATACGGCTTTCCACTAGAATCAAGCGAAACTTGGCATCCTTGTCCTTGCGGTTCTTGTCCAAGTGCTTTCGGATAGACACTGCTTTCTTGATCAAGTAGTACAAATCCTCTGGCAGGGTTGGTGCCAAGCCATTGGTCTTCAAGATTCGCAAGATGTGGTTGCCAGTCACAGTCTTCACCTGAGGCACACCGAAGCTGTCTCGCAAGGTGACACCAATCTGGGAAGGAGTCAGCCCTTTCTTGGCCAGCTTGCAAATATGGTCAGACACATCATCCGGCTTAAGCTTCAGCCAACTTGGTGGAGTTCGCTTGTACGGGATTGCCGAGGAAGCAATGCCCTTGCCCTTTCCATACATGCGGCCCATGGCTCCTACTACCTACCTCACTGCTGCTCGTGCCTGCCTGCATTGAATAGGAAGAAGGCTTTGTTGGTACTTGTTCCTGGAATTCCCAGGAGTCCAATTTAAAACAACGACTAAAAGACCCCAAGTCGAACAAAAGCAAGGTACGTCAGTATATATAGTTGGTCTGCACGAATTGGGCAATCTTGTTCCCTATTGACAGAAAGGCATGGCTTCCAAGTGCTTCCAGTCGTACCATGTTGTACCCAATACAGTATTTAGTAAGGCACTTGTTCCTAGCAGCGAACCTTGTTACTACTAGTAAGGCACCTGTTACTACTAGCGTGGCACTTGTTACTAGTAGCTTCTAATTAAATTCTCAGAATTGAGCTGGGATCCCGAGCGCACATCGACCAGCGGCTGACCAGCGGACAAAACACATCTCTGTCACATGGCTCTGATTACCGCGCCGCCGATGTTGCACACTTCGAGGCCCCCCCCAACATGTTTTGCCTGTCAGTTCGATTTGTTTGTTGTGGAATGCTGTGGAAATGGCACAGTTTTTTCCTGTATGATCCATATCACATTCATTAAACAGCCTTGAGGGAGTCATCAGCCGTGAGCGCAGGTAGAACGGCTTCAGCCCACAGAGTGGTAACTCAGCATCGGACATTTCAACACAATGACTGCAGCGACGCCATATACAATGCTGTAAAATGCTCTATACAATGCCAGTGCCACATCAAAATCATGCAATTTCAAAACCCTGCATTTCACGGGTTCACTTCGACCGATCACTCTCTTTCACCCGCACAGTGGACATCCGGTCATGTCCGGGCACGCGTGATTCTTGGCCTGCCAAGGCAGAAACAAAGGACACAGAAACAACGGACACAGCATGAGCCAGCATCTACCGTTCTTATAGGTATACAGTATGCAATGCTATGGTACTTAATTGTCTTTGAATTTCTTGAGCGCACTGGCCATGCTAGTTTGGCACACTTCAGCTCGAGTTCTGAACATTAGGTTCATCGGCTGGATTAAAAAATCACCTCTGCGCCTTCTTTTCGAGGTGCGGTGATCCAATCTGTGGCGAAGTACTGAAGACTTGACTTCAGCTGATTAAATCATTTTTCGCCAAGCCCTTCACGATCTCAACATCTTGAACAATGAATCTGCCAATGTCAACTATATTGTATATATTTGTATATATATATATATACACATTACCGTTAAGCACTTTCTTGGATTCAATCCATCAGGGGTGATGTGGAACGCAAAGGACTAAAGAGTGGCACAGGTGATACATGGCACCAATGTGCTGTGGCCCAGCTGACCTCTGCTCGTTAGAGCAAGTTTGTGAGCCTGGGTCCAGGAGCATACGTAATTGAACAGTTTCGGCAACTTGGCCTGTTGTCCTATGGAAAGCTGAAGTTTTTTTTCAACTCCGTTTTGAGCAATCCCATGAAAATTGGTGCCAGGAACAGCGGACCAAGACGGAGTGACTCAAGTGGTCAAAAGTCAAATACACTCAAATCGGTCTGCAAAGTGTCCTCGAAGACTCGACACCCTCCGCAGCAGGTACAGCCGAAACCTACTGATTTCAAATTAAACATGCAAAAGCCCTGGGACCAGTTGGGGGAGTAAGGGTGTCCAGAAGTACACTGAAGAGAAACCAATATGGCAAGCGCAAATGAGTTGCAGGTTCCAAGGATACTCCGTCAGAAGTTCACTCCAAGTCCGAGTCCTGCTGCCTTTGGAAGATAACCCGGGTGCAGGGCCACAAGAAGGTTATCAACTCACCCTGCTCACCAAAAAATAAACGCCAACTGCAGTGGCTCATTTCCTATGAGTAGAGCCTCGTCGCTCAGACGTGTCGACACGTAAATCAGTTGGCTTGCTGGCATCTTCTCCTCAGGCACTTGAAGCTGCTCACTTGCAAACAGCCACACCAGAGGTGGAGCTAGGCAGGGCACTCTAATAGAGCATTAGACTCTGTGAAATTGTGATCCACCGGCATCGCTCGACCCAAGACCAAGCTAGGAACCTGTACTCCAAATGGGGGTTACGTGCCCGCTGAAAAGGGAGTCCGTTCTTGCTTGGGGGCTTGCTGCGGTTTTTGGGATTCACAGTGGTAGCGGAACCCGGTAACGCCCGGGTCTCCTTCCCCCCTTTTGTTGGTTTGGGGTTGACTCCCTTTTTGGTGGGACACTTAGCCCCCGCTTGGAGTTTTGGCTTTTGGAATGGCCGGACAAACTCAGGCTGTTCCGCCATCGGATGGCGATCTAGACGAGCCCGTAGGAGGATTGCCAGCCGCAGGTTCACCTAGTGCGCCCGATGGCATGGGGACGGACCGCGAGGCCTTTCTTCGGTTCCAGAGGTTCCTTCGTCTGGAAAGGGAGCAAGAAGGGCGCGGTCTTCGCGGACGACGTCGTCAGCGAGACGACGAAGAGGAAGAAGAAGATGGAGGTGGCGACGGCCGGGGGTCGGCTGGACCACCACCATCTTGGGACGGCGTAACACCCTTGAGGACTACTTCATCAAGGCAAAGCTATGGATCGCCACAACCAAGGCCAAGGGTCGCTCTCGCGGCCCCTTACTGTTGAAGATGTTGAGCGGCGCTCCATTCGAGCACTACAAACACTGGGCGAAAGACCCAGAATGGATGGCTGATCCTCATGGCGCCGAGCGGCTCCTCAATGACATGGACACCCCAGAGAAGTATGGAGACGATCAACAAGAACACATGCTCACCGCCATGTCGAGGATCACCTACCACCTGAGGCGCCAGCGGAATGAGACCTGGCGAGAGTACTTTGCGAAGTGGGATGGTGCCATTCGCAAGGTCCACCAGCACAAGATCACCCTCCCTGAAGAGTATGAGGGCTTTCTGATGATCAATGGCCTTCAGCTCACCGAGACCGAGACCAAGGCCATGCTGAACTACACTCATGGATGCATCAAGCCAAGCTCCATCAAGAGTTGGCTGAGGAAGAACGAAACTCGACTGTCAGCTGCCGAGTTGGGAGCTGATAAGAAGAAGAACCAGGTCAACTTTCTCACGGAGTTCGAGGGACACCACATCGAGAACAATGACATCGAGGAGAACGACGAGGACAAGGAGGAGATCGATGAACTTGAACAGTGCATCATGCATCTTCAGGACGACGCCGACGGCGACACGGTCCTTAGTGAAGGTGAGGCCGCCGAGATCCTCTCCACCTACGTGCAGCAGAAGAAGACCTACACCCAATCGATCAAAAATAAAAAGGCCAGAGAACTGGCCCGTGGCTACGGAAAGAGACCACCTCCGGGAGGACATGATCGAGGATCCTTCCGGGACAAACCACTTCGACCGGGCTCGTACTACTCGGTCACCATCGCCGAACTTCAGAAAAGAACTCGCTGCCGCAACTGCGGCCAGATCGGACACTGGAAGCGGGACTGTAAGAATCCGCCCCAGAAGAACCCGGACTTGAAGACCAACGAGAGCCACTATTTGGAGAACACCGATGAGGCCTTCTTCATTGGACATCTTGCCGAGGACACGCTGGACTTCGAACAGGACCTGACGATCCTGGAGTCCGACGTCATGAACCTGGCTACGAGGTCTTCTACCAGTACTGAGCGGCATGGAGTGGCGACTCACCTGAGCCCGGCCGGTAGGACCTGGCAGCCAAAGGTTGGCTATGCCACGGATGCTGAACGCCCGTCCGCGTCGGCATACATGGAGAGTGACCTTTTCCGTTCGACCGGTGTTGAACATTTGTTTGTTTTCGAAAACATGTTTTGCAACCTCGTCTCTAAGTCTCCTCAACCTCATGACATGGTGGATGCGACTTGCGCCACCGTCGACACAGGATGCCAACGACTTGCCATCGGTGCCCGAACACTCCGAGAGTTTGCTCAACATCTCCCTGAACCCCTGAAGATCATCCTCACTCCCGAAACGAATAGGTTCAGGAGCGTGCATCAGACATCAGTCACATCCAAGGTTGCTACAATCCCATGTTCCTTGGGTACCAAGGGAAGCTTCCTAAAGCCGGCCGTCTTTGAAAACGAGGAAAGCTCTGGTGCGCCCTTCCTCATCTCTCTCAGCTTCCTACTCCATTGTCATGGAGAAGTTATTCTTTGCCATGAACAAGGCCTCCAATTACGGCTTCGGGGAACTCCCGAACCAGTTCCCCTTCACCTTGGTCCAACTGGCGCTTTACGAATTCCACTTCAACAATACAACCAGGTGCAAAAACAGGCACTCGAACGAGAACAAAACTCGATGAACCAGAGCACTTCGGTCGAGTTTGAAGTCTTGAAATTGCAAGATGGCTGCATGGAACCGCCGAAGCTGAGTACCACTCAAGCCACGAGCCCTCTTGCTACTCCGCACTCAGCCGCTTGCCATGCAGACTGCTGGCCAGAAACGTGTTCGGGCCAGTTCAACTTTCGAAGAAGAAGACCTTCAACAACATCGAGTCCTTCAGTGCCGCTTCGTCCAATGGTGCGAACAACAGCCTCTTCTGAGTCTGGAAAGCTGGCGTCACCGGCAACAGCCCGGCGACGAACCTGTGAGCTACACCCAGATCTTGGAGGCCATGATCCAAACCAAATGTCAGCACAAGGAGACACATCGAAAGGGATCGAACGCCTATCTCACCAAGGTCACATGCCGCACCTGCAACAAGGTCATCAAGTCCGAGAAGATCGGGAAAAAGGAAGAGGGGAACAAGTCCAAAGCCAGCACGACATCCTCGAGCTCGGCGCCACCATCCCGCCAGGGGATTCCCTATCCGGCGACTCCCCAGACCACCTCGGACGGCACAGATCTGGAGCACCTGACCGACTACCAGGAATTTCAGGAATACTTTCGTTGGAAAAAACCAACGACCCCGAAGCTGGAACGGAGGCTTCGAGCTGCCATCAAGAAGGCAACGGCTTTTTGGCGAGAGCTTCAATTGCTGCTGGCTGATACGCCTTTGCAGCACTGGGCTCAGGCCTTAAATGACGAAATTTGCCAGGAGTTCACTATGAATCCAGCCGGCACCAAAAAATCTCGTGAGATTGCTGAAGTCGTGGGGTTAACCGTTAAACAACTTAAGACTGTGGCCGAAGTGTACAATCCTGGCTGCTTTCAGAAAATTACTGGTCGTTTTCAGTTGTCTCCCGGCCGCGCATTCGATTTGAGTCTAGGAGAAGATTTGCTAAACGAAGATAAACAAAACGAAGTCATGCAGTTAACTAAACCAGGACTTGTTTGCATTGCACCACCTTGCAAGATGTACACCCAGCTGCAAAACCTCTCCAAAGAGAAACGTGCCCGATTACCTGACCTTATGAAACGATACTTGAAAAACAAGGCAGAAGTTGATTTTTGCCATTCGGTTGTGCGAACTCTGCGACGACCTTGGGATCAAGTTCATATTTGAACATCCACACGCCGCTTCCTCCTGGAAACACTGTGCCATGGAGCGGCTGCTGGATCGACCGAATGTCATCTACACCAAGGCTGACCAATGCCAGTATGGACTACAGGGTCAGTCAGGACTTCCTCAAAGAAAAAGAACCGGTTTTGCCACGAACTCAGAAGCCATCGCTCAAGCTCTGGGCAAGCTCTGCCCTGGCAACCATGAACACGAAGTCATCATTGGTGGCAACCGGTCTCAACGATCACAGGTATACCCGGAGAAACTCCGATCGGCCATCTTGAAGGCCTACAGCCAGTCCATCAGCGTGGACCATGTGGAAGTGGTCAGCTCCGAGAGCATGCTGGCCGAGAACCACCGGCTGAACTACCTCATGGACACCGAGTTTCGGGCCTTAAAGGACCTACAACGGGGAGTACCTGCTGGTCACACCGAATGCCGGGACCCCGATTCTCGAACTCTTGACGACCCAGATTCTCGCCTACCTGACCTACAGGACTATGTCACGGCCGAGATCTTTGCGAATGAGGAGAACCGAGAACCACACGACCCGGAGAACCAAGAGGACGATGGGGAACTACAACCAGAAGATGAACATGAAGAAGGCGAGACACCGGAGAACTCAGAACAACGATTACCACTACACTCCCGTTTTCCCATGGAACGTCTTCTCCACCGAGCACACGTCGGCTTGGGCCACCCGACTTCGGATAGATTCGTGAGAATCCTTCGGTACGCGAAGGCCAAACCCGAAGTCATCGAAGCTGCCAAACACCTCCGGTGCAGTGTGTGTCAACGACACTCACAAGTGAAACCTGCTCGGAGAAGTGCACCGCCAAAGGAACTGGCATTCAATGAGTGCGTTGGAGTGGATGTCATCTTCTTACCGACGCTTGGCAGCAGATCACGCCCCGCACTGAATGTCATCGACTGGTCGCGCAAATTTCAACTCATGATCCCCATGGACAACAAGAAACCAGGTCACGTCCGAGAAGCTTACAGACATTGGCTCCGTCTATTCGGCCCTCCGAAAAGAATGGCACTGGACCTTTCGCTGAACAAGCAGAACAAGATGGAACCTTTGTTGACCCCTCAGCAGTTGAAGCCCCACATCAAAGAGGCATCACGGAGCGCCATGGCAAGACCTTCAAGTACCCCCTCCAGAAGACCATGGACACCTATAGCTGTGCCGACATGAAGGAATGGGAAGAAATGGTCGACATCACCATGATGACCAAAAATCGAATGATGAACGTTGGAGGTTTCAGTCCCAGCCAGCGGGTGTTAGGCTTCAACCCCTTTCTGCCCGGAGGACTCCTCAATGGAGACGACGGCCATCGAGGACAACAACCCGAAATCAAGGTCGGCGATCTCAGTATCGAACGGTCAATGAAACTTCGAAAGGCTGCAGCACACGCCTTTATAGAAGCAGACGCCAGCAACTCCCTTCGAAGAGCAGTCGCCTCAGGGCCACGACCTGTCCTCGAGTACGACATCGGCGAGATTGTCTACTTCTTCCGGATGGGAGCCGACAAGAAACTGAAGTTCAAACCGTGTTATTGGCATGGACCGGCAAGAATCATTATGATCGACCAGCCCAGTACTATCTGGCTATCGTACCAGTCCCAACTTGTCAAGGCCAGTCCTGAACGAATCAGGAGAGCTTCAATGGAAGAAAACATGGCCATGTCAGGATGGCTGGAAGACCTCGTGAAGCTGAAGAAGGACATCACCACGGAGCCGATTCGAGGTTTCCTGGACCTGTCCGACCAACCGCTCCCAGAGATCCTTGACGATGAGAACAACCATGAAGAGTACACCCCGACCGAACCGGATGAAGCACCTGATCAAGATATTCCAATAGAACCAGGACTACCACCAGGACTCAAAGAACCTCCAGGATATCCAAGACCCGCGAAACGCTATCGAGAGAAAGGACCACAAGATGAACTGGTCTATGATGACAGAGAACCACTTCCTGCAGTACCTGACGACCAACAACCGGGAGAACATCAACAAGATGAAGCCGCTCTCCGACCTCCAGAACCTGAACATGAACGAGAAAAGAGGGCACATGATGAAGAAGAATTGGATGAGCACCCCAGCAAAAGATCCCGACTTGAATATCTTGAAACCTACCTCCTCAAGGTTGAGAACTTGATCAAGGGAAGACAACGAAAAGAAGTTCGATTACAAGAGCTCAATCTCCGCAACCAAAAATGCTTCAAGAACGCCATCGGAAAAGAGATCCAGAACAATATCAACATCGGTGCCTACACCATGGTCAGCCCCGAGGAATCAGCTCGTGTCAGACAAACTATGCCGAACAAAATCATGGAGAGTCGGCTAGTACTCACACCCAAACCGCTGGAACCTCATGAAGTGGAAAAAGCCAAAGAGGAAGAAATTCTTCTGGACTGGGATACCGATGAACCATGCAAGGCAAAGGCTCGCCATGTCATGAAAGGCTTCAGCGAAGAAGGCGCTGAAAACATCGAGGCAACGACTCCACAAGTGACCCGAGAAGGTACACTCACTGTCGCCCAACTAGTCTCCAGCTTTCAATGGAGGCTTGGCTTCCTGGACTTCACCCAGGCCTTCCACTCTGGCGACCCGATCGAGAGACTCCTGTATGCCACTCAACCAAGAGAAGGCATTCCAGGCATGAATCCTGGCCAGTTGCTTAAACTGGAAAAGGTCTGCTATGGCCTAACAGATGGACCACTGGCATGGTACAACCACCTCCGGAAGTTCCTCGTTGGCGATCTCCACTACCAACAGTCATTGGCCGACCCGTGCATCTATTACAAGCTCAAGACCAATCTAGAAAATTCTAGAAACAGGAAAGGAACAACTGAGCGGCATCATCGCGGTAGCCACTGACGACCTTCTTCACGGAGGAGACCATGACCATGAAGAGGCCATGAGCAAGATCCAAACCAAGTACAAGCTTGGGAAATTCCAGTATGGCACAGGAAAATTCACCGGCAAACTCTTCACCCAGCACGACGACTACAGCATCACGGTGAACCAAGAAAATTATGTACAGGAGAAACTCTTCGAAATTCACCTCGAGAAAAGCAAGAAGAAAAGAAGATTCTCCTTCTGTGATGACAAAGAAGTGTCAAGTCTCCGAGCCAGTGTCGGAGCCCTCGCATGGTTGGCCAAGGAGAGCAGACCAGACATAGCTGGCAGAGTGGCACTACTTCAACAAGTATTTCCACGACCACGGATCAAGGACATCATTGAGGCCAACTCCATCACCCAGGAGGCCAAGAAATATGCAACGAGTGGCATCCGGATCATGCCCATTGCTCCAGGCAACCTGAGAGTCGGCGTCGCCACTGACGCTTCCTGGTCTAACGCGAGAAGTCAAGACCAGATCGAAAAAGATGGTCCCGATTACTGGGAAGAGAAAACTCAACACTGGATCCGTCATCACTTGGCACCACGAAGAACCTTGTTTCATCCAGGAGCCACACCAGGACCTGACCTTCACGACCTGCAACCAGGACGACGGACAGTGAACAACCTCGGAAACACCAAGGAGGATGACTGGACAAGAGGAAACAGCACCACCACTTGGGATTCCCAACCATGGACTGGACAAACCATATTCACCAAGCAACTTCCCGGCCATGAATTGGAACACTCCCACATCAGCGACTGCTTCTTGAAGATGCTGAACTGTAGCAGTCAAGGCGGCTATGTCCTCATGTTCTACGACAAGCGCATGGAGAGCGAAAGCCGACCACATATGGTCTCAGTGACCTCATGGAAGTCTTCAAGGTTGAAAAGAAAAACAGTAAACACTCTCAGTGCGGAATGCCAAGCATTGATTCAAGGAATCGGCCAAGTCCATTGGCACAGGTACCTCCTGTTAGAGCTTCTTGGAGCCCCCATGTCCACCACAGACTGGGAAAGACATCTGGCATCCATTCCCTATGTGTCAGTGGTTGATTCCCGTTCCCTCTACGATTGCATCAACAAAGCTGGTTTGCACCTACGCCCAAGTCGAAGACAAAAGAACAGCCATCGATGTCGCCATCCTCAAGGATGATCTCTGCCGGTCTGGCGGAACACAGCTGAGGTGGGTAGCAGGAGACAACATGGTTGCTGACCCCCTTACTAAACGTATGTGTTCCGACTTCCTTCGAATGATTTGCAACACCGGCATGTGGTCACTCTCAGAAGACGGTCACGAAAGACAGTGTACAGAGCATGATGTCTTGATCGTCTCGCTTTGCCGCTAAGAAGTTGTGCCGGTGTGAAATTGTGATCCACCGGCATCGCTCGACCCAAGACCAAGCTAGGAACCTGTACTCCAAATGGGGGTTACGTGTCCGCTGAAAAGGGAGTCCGTTCTTGCTTGGGGGCTTGCTGCGGTTTTTGGGATTCACAGACTCTCATTATATAGGCCTAGTGGCCAGAAAGGTCAGGAACCAATGCCATTAGACCTAGCTTCATAACAAGTTGAAGGTGGGGTGGAGAACGGTGCTCTGAATAAAATATCTTAAGGTGTAATCCGTGGGTCCGGGATTCAATAGATATATATATATATAATTCAATGAATTCCATTGATCTGCAAGAAGCGTAGCACACCACTATTTCGAAAACAGCCAAGTTTCTATGCATAGGAGCCGGTGGGGTCGCGTGAGTGCCTGCAAAACTGCCCAAGCAACACAACAACTGGACTTCCCCATGAATTGCTTGTTCAGCCAAAGTATCGCCGCAAATTATATATCCCAAATGTATGCTGGTTGTTTTGAAGTACACCAGCGACAAAAGGCTGGTACGGCCCGGCATGTCCGCACGAACGAAGCAAAGGCCCGCAAATTCCGGGTGAACAGTGATCTGCATCGGCACCAACATGCATCAAGAGCAGCAGGTGCAGCTTCGGTCATCTTTGCTCTTGGCCCAGGAATGAGATGCCCAGAAGTGGCTTGCAAATAGCCTCTGCTTTTAGATTTGGGCCCGGCAAAACGGACTCCTAGGTTGGCAGCCTGCAGTCTACCCTAAGCAAAATTGAGGTCCTGCCAGTGAATCCACTGATCACAAAGCCTCAATCATCCTCAATCAAAGGTCACCTGCTGCATTATTTATTGCACCATCACTTGTAGAAGGGGCTAGCGGCTAGGCGGCTAGATGCAACTGCCTACAGAAAACTTACACATACCACTGCATCTCTCTCCCGCTTTTGTGCACACATGGACAGTTGTAAGTCACTGAAAGACTGGCAGGGATGAGATACAGCATGCAGCTAAAACAAACTGTAACTAGTGTGCATATGACAATAATTATATGGATTGCACGCAGCATGTCGTTGAGTCAAATGGCTCGCACCCCTGCCTAGCAGGCATATGATCTTGTCCAAGGTAGGAAGCTTGTGAAGATCATAGTGCTTGTTGTTCGCGAGGCATGCCTGGGCCCAGAAAGAGGATGTTTGACAAACACACTACTTGAGTTTCAAGGCCAGGTTCTCTTTTGCGGCTGCAAGCGACCAAGTTGCTGCAATCATGCCATCAGCGTGACCGCATCTGGGGCAATACATGTTTCCCCAGCCGCTCTGAGGTTCAACCTTGCACTCAGAGCAAGCTGCCTGGAAGCATGTGACAAGCACAGAACCACGAGCGTTCCGTGAACTCAGGCCAACAGCGCAGTGTGACATGAGATCAGTTCTGTCGTGTTTCCCCGTTCTCACCACGACTGGCCACATGAGCGAACATAAATATATACATGTCAAATCAAATCCATCTCTTATCATGTGCCGCACAATTGAGCAAAGTAATTAGGAGGCAGAATCCCGGAATACCTCGTGGTTCGTCAAAATTGTTGGGGAACTCATCCGAATTTGTCAAAACACTTCATTTCGCTTCGCCTGCCGCTCGTAGTTCTTACCAGCCACGACAGGCCGCATGGTCGGCAGGTGATGGAAGAGGTCCGGACGCTCACACTGAGCAAAGCGGAGGTCGGCGAAGCGACTTGGGTGTCCTCTCTCCCAACTTCGGGCAAAACAGGATGCCGGTTACCGCGATTTCAGGGTAAATAGCGCCAACCCGCGAAAGGATATATGGATCCCCATGCACCACCTACTCAGAAGTCACTGTAAATCCACTGGCTTCAAGGCTGCAGACCTCGGTGTTCCCCAGCTTGAACATCTCACCCAGCTTCAGTGAGCCACACGATCCAAGATACTTGTCTGAGCTCATGTGAAGCTCTTGAGTTCTCTCTTCCTCTCTCTCTGTCTGTCTCTTTCTCTCTCGCCTTGATTCGATCAAGGTTGGAGACTTCGGACCATGGATTGTCTTCTTGCTCCTTGCGATGGTTGATGGCATCTGACATGAAAAGAAGCAAAGAGGAAGACACAGAGCGAGTCCACTGACAACCAGGAGGAGGAGGGGACGTCCAACTCCATTCAGCTGTCGAAAGTGCCCTTCCACCCTTCGACGATGTGGCGCTCACAAACACTAACCACTTGCAAGATCTTAGGGACCCTTTTGCAACACCCTTCTCCTCTCCATTCTTTGGCTTGTAACCTCGGCTCCAATGGTTTCGGCTTTTCGATTGGCTACGACAGGCTCCAAAAACTGCGGGACTGGCGATTGCGCAAACAGCTTTTGAATTGGGAGCATAGAGTAGTTTTGGACAGTCTGGTCCTCCTTGCTGACAATTAATCTGCCAAAAAAAAACGGTCTATGTCACTGTTCTGACTGGATTAAAGTGCACAACGCCGCAGTCAGGCCGTTTGACTGCTAAAACATGCTCACGACATCTGCATCCTAAACAGTCTCACGCAGGTGAAACGCACCTATACGTGCCACTGACTGGGAAGCCGGGCCCTGGTTACCTTGGTAAGGCCGCCACTCACGACGTCATAATCAGAGGTGTTGAACAAAAAAACGGAGTGGCTGAAGGCTTTATACCCAGCCGACGTGTCACAAGCATAGAGCCAATCTGCCAATAGGCATCAGTAGGCAAATAGAAGGTGGTCCCACATAGAATGAAAATAACACTTCATGTATGCCGAGTAGCGGAACTCCTCCATAACCTTGTCCAAGGGTCTCCTGCTGATCAAGTCAACCAATCAGTCGGCGTAGCGGGATTGAATGATATGAACTCTATCATCAAGTCATTGCAATTTTGTGTGTGTGACCCATGGAGTCACTAGGAGCCTTTTAATATTTTGAGTTGGTGCTAGTCTGTTGATACTTAGCACGGGGGCAAAGCTCTCTGATGCTACTCTGTCCAATGAAGCTACGCATCAAAGAGGGAAGCATCCACTGGCCATGGATGTGTAGCTGGTACCTGCTTCCCACACTACAGAGCAATTCTTGTGTCTCGCTTGTAAGCTGGAGGCAGAGTTCGTCAGCAGACTTGTCTGTCGGTTCTCTTTCGTTTTCACTACCGCTGCAGTATGAGAGATTCCTTCGTCTCGCTCATTAGAACAGGAGGCTTTCAATCCTTTTATCTAACTTACCTATTCTACAACCGGCGGCTTTCAAGTATCTGTCTTGCCCACCTACCTTAGAGCGATTCATCCGTCTCGCTCGCAGTTTGGAACTACCTCTACTAGAGCGACTCATTTCTCTCACTCGATTGGAAATTTGCACTAGAGCGATTCATATTATTCATATGTCTCGCTGTCTTGCTCACAGCTTGACAGCTTGGAAACTTGCACTTGCATCAGCCACTTTTCAGCGAGAGATTGGAATTATGCAAATTGTAACATCCCTGCACCTGGTTTCTCAGGCCCTCTAGATCTAGGTTGGTGTGTGGCATGTGGGAATCAAGTCGAACGATGTTTTGCCGAGTGCGTGTCAGTTGCCGGTCAGAACATTATATAAAAAAGAAAAACCGAATCGGAATCTGACACAGTGGTGTCCAGTCTCGACTCCTCTTGTTGCCAAACTGTTGCAGGGCCGCTTCCCAGCCCATGCGCTTGCTGAAGGACATGACATCTTCCTAGTTGCAGGACTCTGGAACATCCAGTGAATGTTGAAAAGCTCTAAGCATCTCTCTTAACCTCTAAGTGCAGATATCGCACCCGTGTGGCATTACGTGCAGTCATTGACTTTAGGCCCGAATTCAAGCTCAAGCTTGACAGAAGTCTGGTGCAATTTGCAAGGAATTAAGTCAATTGTGATTCTGACGGTTACGTAAGGGAAGTAAAAGCGCATCAGTTGAAAGCATTCGCCCCAGCCGTACTCAAGTTCCGAGATGTTCCGAGCTTCCGCCACATTGCCCTCATCTTGTTGTTGCAACTGCCCCAGCTGCTGCGCCAGGTGAGTGATTACCCACAAGGCCTGACCAGCTGTTCTGACGAGAGAGAGAGAGGGAGAGAGACAGGAAGAGGGCTGCCTCCCTACGAAAAGAGGAATTGCGGCATATTGCGGCAAATCACCTGGAATCTCTGCAACTGCACACTGTATACCATTATATATAATCCGTGTAATTACACGATAATTACTAATTACTATCCTTTTCATTCCTTTTCGATGTGCTATCTTCCCTTTTCATTAGACTCTCTGCGGCTCCTTCGTGGCAGCTGGTAGAGTCGACTGCTCTGGCGTCCCGTGAAAACTCAAATGTCCAAAGCCGATGCGGAGGAGACTTTCGATGAAGGCCTCCAGGCAGAAGCTGCTACCGATAAACCCCACAGCTCGACCAAGCCATGATTGAGTAGTTTGGAACATTTTGCGTCTGTCAACTTTGTTTCTTTATGTGTCTCTGCTGTTGCTGTTCATGAGCCTACTCAATGTGGACATGTGTGTCTGAAAGCCTTCAGGCCAAAACATGCAATCTTGTAGTTCTTCTCGTTGTCGGTTTTGGTCTGCTCTGCAACTTTGGTCACGAACGGGTTCTTTAGCTCCTCCTGAGGGAAAGAAAGGTAGGATGAAGGCTTGCACCCAGACCCGGAACTTGGCAACCACACACACAACTACCTCAGTCATATGATCCATAATACGAGCTGAGGTAGACCTCTACCTACGGCCATCTGTTCTCCATGGCGGAAAGACCCAAACGTCCACTGAGTGGAATGGCTCAAAGCTGGTCCTTCTTGTCTTGCTCCTTAGCTCATCTTGGCTCCAAACTGTGTCTCAGCTGTTGACAACATGCCGTCATCTTGACAACGAAAGTGTAGTGCTTGGCTGGGTAAGCATGATCAAGCCAATCATTCACCCATTGCCATGACCGCGCGTGGTCTTAAATTAGGCCCAAGAGGCCCGTCTGAAAAGCAAATCCATGCGGACCTGCGGCAGGCACGTCGCCGTCGTCGTCGGAACTGCCGTGTGCGCTTCAGATTCGGACAGCAAGCCACACACGTTGTCCACTTCGGTGTACATCAGTCATTTCCGGCCTTAACGAAGCCCAAGACCTTCACCAGCTCTTCATAGCTCATAGCCCCGTCCAAGTTTCCGTCTACCAACATCATAGCTCCTCAGTCTGAAAGGACCACACAGCAAGGCTCAAACCTCAGCAACCTCAGGATGAAAAGGAGCTGTCTTCCACCACATTGAACAAGGATTTGTTGCCCATCCTTGCGGCTTGGCACACCGGCACAACCTAGTGATGCCACTGCATTCGCACGATCGCTATCCCTTGTTGTGAATCCTTCGGAATCCTTCGCACCACTTCATGGGAATCGGTTGGGCCACTTATGGCCACTTCATGGGAACTTCCAAGTAGCTTCTTGTTCCTAGTAGTAAGGCCAGGAGCTACTAGTAGCTTCTTGCTACTAGTAGCGATGCCCTTTGTTCCTAGTAGGAATGCCTTTGGAACAGAAGGAGTCTCCCCGAAGCAAGCGCGGTCGATCGACCGCTTCGTGCCAAGGCACGGTCAAACTTTTCATACTTGCAGGTGAAGCCAAGCTCTTCGCCAATCTGCCCGGACGGTCGTTTGAGTGCTGTGATGGGTCATCTCGCAAACGCATCGCAAATACTCCAGGTCTCTTTGCACGTATCTGTACTGGTACCGCATTGCCTACCTTGAACATAAACACCAATTCAGTCCTGCATGTCAAACATGTGCATTGATAGTGGCAGTGACTATGATGATGATGATGATGATGATGATGATGATGATGATGATGATGATGATGATGATGATGATGATGATGATGATGATCAATCACGTTCAGACAACAATGAACTGTGCCATGATTGTTAGTGCTGATGGTGGCGTGATTGCTGCTGCGATTGGCCTTGTGCCGTTACTGTTTGTGGTGGGGTGTTGTTGTTGCTGCTGCTGCTGCTGCTGTGATGGTAATGGTTTGCTGTTGTCATTCCCATTGTTCTCCTTCTTGCCATCAAAACGGAACATCAAAGACAAAAATTGCACTCCAGCTCCGATGTCACTTCGCTTTCTGAGCTCGCGCAAAGTATCCACTTAGGACCACGCCACTCTCAGCTCCCTGAAGCCTCAGATTGCCAGATTGCCTAAAGGCCAAAAAAAACCGGCGCTGCCTTTCTAGAATTTGAATTGCTTTCCTCACGAAACTTTGGAGATCAACGCCGAATGTTCATGCATGAGCTGTTCACGAGATCCTCTTCAAGCATGGCCATGTATGTTGCATCCAAGCCACTGAAAAAACCCTTGCCGAGCTTGTCAAACTTGCTAAATATATCCTGCACGTTCGCAGGTCTGACTGTGGGTATGCTACACCAGTTGACCAAAAAGCATCTAAGAAATAGTGGAGACAATTCCAGAAAGGAATGTCCTTCAAATCGTGCAGTAGCCAATTAAGAGCTGATGTTGCTTACAACCAGCAACGAGAATCATGACAGACTGTGAATTGTTCCACCACACAGTGGAGAAAAAAAAAACAGTGGAAAGCATAGGTTGAACTTTCAGGCTCCAACCTTGACCGTCCATTTGTGTGCCTGCGATTTTAGCGAGATTCAGAAGAGGTTTTGGGAGAGGCAGGGACACGTTGGAAAATAGAAGGTTCAAGTTTCTGACAACTTGAAGAAAGCTTTAAAAAACAGTAGTTATATAGATACACTTAAATTAAAACACTAAGCTCTGCTTATCGACATGCAAAAATAGAAGTCCAATGATTACAGCACGCAGTCCCCAAGTTCCATATCGCACAGACAGTGGCCTCCATATAGTTCCACCTTGAAAGTTGAAAAGTCTGCAAGCATGCGAGGTCATGCTGTCCGCAATGACTGAGGCTAGCCGAGAAACTGCTTGGATGCCTTTCAGTACAGCCAACAAGCTCGAATAATTCGGGGTTCTGCCACTACCTTGCAGCCTTTGCTTTGAGAAGCATCGTTCAGGTGAAATAATGCACCTCCTGCATAATTGCATATAAATGGCGAGCATCTCGTGTCAAAGGTAGTCCCGTCTCTTGGGCGAAGAGACAACTTGCAAGCTACTTTGGTCTTCGGGGAGTTTTTCGAATTGATCCTAGCCATCCCAAGGACAGTTGGAGCCTCTGTGCAATGTTTTGTGTTATATTTGTGTCTGTCTGGAATCTGGAAGTGTTTCTTTCATGTACAGTACTCAGTACTCATGTACTTGCACGAAGATTAAACATGATTTTCTTCTTGGTGATTGCGAGTGGGGATTGATGCGCCCATTGCCACAGGCGCTACCACACAAGGAACGAGGCATGAAAATCAACAAAGAATGCATGATTCCTCGAGGCTCTCACAGGAAATATAGCAAAATAGCTGCCTTCCAAGCACAAACGCTGCCAAGCTGCAAGGGTATAAAGTAATTGATGGCAACCTGTTCAAGCTCCGTCAGCTCCGCGTCATCCTGAGACGCTGCGGTGTTACATGGGGCATCGAGTGGCTCTCCTGGCTTTTGGCAGCTTATCTATATAGTAGCAAGCCGTAGTGACACCGGACACACAAAGGTGTGCCTGGCGTCATGGGATGGGAAAGAAGGCAGTCTGGTTCCCAGTGGTGAGGGCTAGTTACTACCGTAGTTATATAAGTATTCATACCGCAAGACCTCAGTTCCTCAACTTTGAAATTCTGAAACCTTCCTACTGTCGGCGTACCCAGCCTTGACAAAGAAGTTCGCACCCTTAGTCAGCAAGTAAAGATTTCAGTGTCCCTTCTCATGCATGCGTTGAGAGTCCCCGCAAGCGCATGTTTGGCAAATATCTTGCACAATGACTTGGCCCAGCCCGGTTCAAATAATGTGTTTGCATGTGGTTACATTGTTCTCCTGTGCCAAGTCGCCCTGTTTTGCTTTGATTTTCTCTCCTACGGCACTGCAGCACTTGGTGCTTGCACAAATGATCACAAGCGACTTTATTAGCTGCTCAAGCCTCTCTCTCTCTCTCTCTGTGGAACACTTCTATGCCGTCTTCCCTGCAAGCCTCTGACTGCAATGTTCTCCCCACACGCTGGAGTGCATTTAGTGCCAGCCGTCCTGGACGGTCTTCATCACGATATCTAATTCGACGTAGTCCAATGTGCCATCACCGTCAGCATCGATTAGATTGAAGAGCCGCTGAACGTCCTGTCCAAATGACAGGCCAAGCTGGGTAAATGTCGTGTAAACGTTTCAGGGCCAACGAGGTGGGACACTGCCTGTGTCCACGTAGAAGGACACTGAAAGATGAAAGAAAACATAATTGATCAAAGATCAAACAGATTGGACTGATCCCTGATCAGCAAGGAGCTGCCTGCTCTCAGGTATGGTTGAAAAGAATTCCCTGTTGCTGGTTTGGTGGGCTGTCTGTCGATGGCTTGAACCACTATAGTCGACTATGTCATCCAGAGTATGAGGGGAAAAAAACGCGGCAATCTCCTCGAAGCTTGGTGGCGGGCTGGACACTGATGTTCGGAGGCTTCCAGACATAGACATAAAGGTGATGCCTAGCGGCCGACAAACGAGGCCAACAAACGAAACGTCCATGTCCGATTCGCTGTGGCTACTCATTTGCGAGTCCATGCATCGAGGGCCATCAAAGGTGCCCCCACATTGACTAACTTCAGAAGCTGGACATCTCTGGACGACCAACTGTATTTCTTGCAAAAGCTTGGAACACAATTTGATACAATTTGCAAATGTTGGTGACATAAAACCACCACCCAAACAACATCAAACAACGGGGGGGAGCGCCTTTCATCAGCTCTTCCGAATCAATTTGGCCATCGCCACTCTCGTCAAACTTGCTAAAGAAGTCTTTCCTTGCACAGGACCGAGGACAAAGAATCAAGGAGAGAGAGGGAGTGAAAAAGTACACTGCCACAAACAATGCATTCTTGCCTACTCACCGCTATCTCAATGCTTTCAAGCGTCGCTCGGACTTTTCTGCTGGTCATGTAGTCCTTGCACCGGGAGTGGACACAAGCGAGCACACAAACACGGCAAATAACTATTACTGTATATAATCTCACCTGTTAACAATTCCACACTGAACAACTCTACGGCATGGTATTCGCTCGCCCTCTGACCACGAAGGTAAATGTTATGCAAATGGCAACACCAGATTGCCCCAATGGGGCTATCGTACTAAAGGCAGATAAATGATAGCTAGAATCAACCGTGCACTAGCAGTCTGGTCTGGGCTTGACACAGCAAAAGAAGACAAAATGGTCAAGCTTCTCCTTAGTGCCCAAGGACCGAGTTTCAGTAAGGATTGAGGTTGATATGCAGTTAGAGGAACGAAAACAACAAATAGAATCAAATCTATTGGATGGCATTGGCGGGTATTAGCCTCAGTTCTGTTCACAAAGAGTATGCGGTATACAATTCATTGTCCTGCCACCAGGTGTCTTTTCTTGGTCGCTCATCTCCTCGAAACTCTTGTTGATCCACGTTGCCTCCCAGCTTCATCGTTGCAACGAAGCACTGCCTTCTGACATTCGAGGAGTGGGCCCGGCCAGGCGGCCATGTGATGGGTCGGGACTTGACAAGGTCCCAAGCAGGTCTTGTGGACTTGCTCTTGGCATCATGTTCTTTGTTTCTTACTAAGTCTTTTTGAAGTCTTATTCTTCGTCTTGTTTCGCGTCCGGCCTTCGAAGCGACCTTCGCAGTTGCCTTGGCCTTGTCGGAGGAGACGAAATCTCAGTGATGCGCAGGCGTGGAGGAGATAAGGCCCCAAGTGGACATGACAGTCCAATGTTGAAGAGATATGACAGTCCAAGGTCCAGATTTCCGGGCTTCTGGGAATATGGCCGGATATGGATAGGTATGGGAGGTATGGCTGGTAAAGGGCCACAGGTTCCCTTCTTGCAGTTTCCAACTGTGCTGACAAAATGCTCTTCTCAGCTTTCTTGATTGCACCCATCTTCACCCACAGCTTCTTTAATCCTTGGAATTGTGCGCAACAAGCCTGTGGCATCTATACAATTCTATACATATCTATCGGACTGAATGATAAAACATGAGAACAACCAAGGGTATTGCAAAAGGATGCAAAAGGCATTATAAGATGTAAATACAGTAGCACAGTAGTATACAATGCTTGCATGTTGTTGAGAAGTGCTTTGACTTGATAAGGTGCACCCTACAAAATACTCATGCGCATGTTGTCACATCTAATGATTGCTGCCGTGTCACGTGCCGTCATCACCAAGACTGCTTCGGCGTCAACATCTGAACAGTCCACCGCAATCACCTCCAGTGACTGCAGTGAAATGCGGTGGTGATTCATGTCATGGTGACAAAGGCCACCCTCCGGGCATAGCACTGGATACTTAGCATAGCACCCCTCACGACCGTCATTCATTTCACGAGATGGTCCGGAGACCAATCATACGTATGTCATATATGGCCAGCTGTGGGATGCTGTGGGTCAAAACTGGGGAACCTTGGTTGACGGAAAATGAACCGAATAGTGAAAAGATGTGGAAAAAACAACTTGTCTGGGTTCTGACCCACAGCCATTGTGAAAAGATGTGAAAAGACAACTTGTCTGGGTTCTGACCCACAGCCATGTCCCCAAAACTCATCACATAAATGGTCGCAGGCCGCACGCCTTCAACGGATCTCCAGGCCTGAGGCGAAGTGAGTTCACAAATGAAGAGGTCTACTGCATGACGACATCAACCAGGAAACTTCACGGCCACTGTTTGGGAGCATGCATTGCCTTGAGCTAGCCATGCCACGGACATTGAGAGCCACACTTGACTTTGCCGCCTTTCTTCCCTCCCTTGAGGAATGACGGAAGCCTTGAATCTTGCCCATGCCAGTCATCGGCTACGAGGAAACGAAGCACGTGAAATGTGAAACGAAACGGTCGCCCATACCATTCAACACCCACAAGGTCACAATTGAGCATCGTTCAAATCTTTGGAGTGAAGGGTCGTACGGAGCTGCTTTACGCAAGTGCTTATCCTTTGCTTACGCAACTCACATGTCAGCTTACGCGCATGCAGGGGGGCATGAAGTGCTTACGCTACAAACTTTCTGCACTACACCGCAACATCAGTTTATGCACTCGAAAAACGAAGCAAACACCCTTATATAACACATACACACGCAAAGCTTACGCACTTTGCTTACGCCATGCTATTGCTTTAGCAAAATTTGAACACCAGATAGTTGGACGATGCTTAAATTATCTAAACATGACCGCTTTTCGGCGCCTTGTGCTACAAACTAATCAAGGACAAAGCTGGCGTGCATTGAACATTATCTAGTTACTAGTCACCCTACTTCCGGCCAAAGACAGAACATTGTCAATTGTCAATCAGTATGATTGCCAAGCAGCTCGACGACATCGCCTACCTGGAAACTCGCTTGTTTCTCATCCTGCCAGGCAACCAAGATGCCACTGACAAGTTGAAGGCCACAGCACTACATGCTTGTCGGCTGAAAGGCAAGACTCACACAAGCATACTAGAATCCGGCAGCTCTGCTCCTTGTGTGTACCTTGGTCACAGGACGCCTGTTTCACCTCTCTCACTACTGACCCTTCAAAGGAAACATTCGGTCTTTGGTCGAAGCGACTCACTCTTGCTGCTCTAGTGATTTATAGGTTTTGTCAAGTCACATCTCTTGATCTCTTCTCGAGTGATTTCTATGATGCTCTCCGCAGACTGATAATAGCAATTCCTCAGCTGGAGAGCCATGTGCATCAATTTGGGACGAAACACCAATGGACAACGCAAAACACCAACTCAGTGAGAGCTCCTGTGGTTTTCCACTCAGCACTCAATACCGTAAACCACACGATTCCGAATGCATAATCTTGACAAGAATTCTTTGCAAGACGCTCTTGAAGCCCTCACACAGCCAGTCCCCGCTAGTACCTTTTCACTTCTTCGACCATTAGCTATGGGGCCAAGCTGGCAAGCTATTCTCGGAACCTTGATTGTTCCACCCGTCTATGTGCTAAGGCTGCTAAGGTATCGGAAATCAGAATGTAGAGCAACATAGACATAGAGCAACTCATACTGACTTCCACTGTTTGACAGGTGAGGGGGGGTTGCTGACAGCTTTGAAGTTGTGCCATGTTGCTTGATTTTTTAGAAGCCTGTTGCGGGCATGCATTGGATGACTGAAATGCTTCCAAGTGTCAAAGAGTTGAAGTCAATGATCTGGGGGGAACAGCTGGAAATCGATGCAGAATTGTAGAAATGCCTTCGATTTGTCCAGCGCCGGTCGGAAAGCTGAGAACACCTTCAGTCAAAGACATCTGGCCTCATTGGACATATGACCATCTTGCGCTGCTGGCGTGAGCAGGAAGTTGGTGGGAGTATCCAAGTAGACATTAAACCTCAAGCAAACAAAGTACACGAGCCACATGACATGAGTCACATGATCATGACTCATGACTGACTTTGAAACAAGAGGAGTCATGCAAGTTTCTCACAAATAGTGCTGCCCTGATGTGGTTGCACATTCAAAGCGCCCGGGTTCTAGCAATAGTTCCAACTAGGCTGGCGGCAAGTACGCAAATTTATCAAAGTACCTGTCACACCGCAGTTCCGTCATCGCGCCAACTCTCACGAAGACAAAACAGCTGTTACACGTGTTACATCCATTCTCTTATGCGCAGTGGAGTTTCAATGGAAAAGCTGCAATGTAGGCAAATCCTGTAAGCAACACTTCTATATAATCCCCAACAATTGCACGTTCTTGCCCCAAGAAAGGGGAACAAATAACAACAATCATTGACCCAAGGTGTCGTGATACACAACTCCCAGCATATATTGTGCCAGCGGGCATCCAAATCAGCTGAATGATCTCAGGCTCCAGGAACATACCTCCGTCCGCTAGGTTTGTTCCACGACTGCCCGCCAACAAGATAGCAAGCCAGAAGTGTGAAGATCTGACAAGCGGCTGGTGAGATACTCGCCTTTGGACACCATGCACCTGAGGGGAAGGAAAAAAAGACACAAGCTACTGCTGCAGCTAATGCTGTTTGTGCTTCTTTGAGGCATCCTCAAGATGCTGTGTGAACCTTCTGACACCTCCCTACAGGACGAGCGACGTGTGGGCGTAGAGGGCCTGGGCAGCAATGAGCAAGCAAACTAATTCGGCAGCGAGACAGTTCAATCAAACTTCTGAAACGCGCCCCGGTTCCATCACGCATAGCAGCGATACACTCAAGGCAAAAGGTCAAGAGATGCTGAGAGAACTCTGGGAATAAGAGGCAATGACACGACACCAAACCACTCAACCAAATTGCAGGAACCTCAGCCATTTGTTTGGCCCTGCTGCCAAGAGACATCCTCTTCAGTTTGCCCCTGGCCGGACACGGGACAACACGTCTGGTCCATCTAAGTTGGAATGATTGTGACTCGATGGCCGGGCCCTTTCTGAATCCATCAAGGCCCTTAAAACAGCTTAAAACTGGTCAGGATTCTACCCAAGAAAAGGCCCTCCGCCGTCCGCCTCGCCATCATCATCCTCGTCTTCCGAGTGTGCACCTCAGGCAGCAAGCACGGATGTCAGATTGATACAGCCAACACAACCAAGAAGAGGCCAGCAATTGTGCCAAGACCCTGCAATCTCTCAAAACACCTTTGCTCATCATATCATATTCTATGAGGTTGCACTTCGCCCTCCGTGAGTGGGGAGTTTGCTTGTGACTGTGTCCACGGTATCCGTGGTGTGCGTCTAGTGATTAGGGTGTCAGGTGGGTTGAGGTGAAGTGAAATGAGATGGATGGGATGAGGGCGTTTAGAAACAGGCCATATGCCGCATGACACTACTTCAGAAGGGAGGAGGCGGCGAAACCAGTAGCAGCAAGCGCCATTCTCTGGCTCTCGATCTCGCCAAATACGCGCCCTTTCTTGTGTTATCAGGCTTGTATTTGTCAAAAAGCGCCCTTGGGTGGTTTCCATTCTAGCTCTCCATCTCTCGATCTCGC